AATAACAAAGACACAATAACAATAAAGTACACTTTTACTACAAACACAACTTAATATATAAAAATTTAATCATGTTAAGTATTAAGATGTCGGAATAATAACTTTTTACAGTATATGATGAACACAACATTAAACAGCTGAAAACTATAATTAACCAAAATATTATGTAAAATATTAATGACAACACAAACAATGTAAATAATAAATTAAGTTGTATTGATTAATTTCTATGATGAAATTAATTTAATCACGTTAGAGTACCGTGAAAAATCACTGCGGCGTGAAATATTACTGCGAATTGTTATTGGGCAAAAAATAATGTTATTGTTGCTTGTAAAACATAAAAAATAATTTACTTTGTAAAAATGTTATATAATATGGCTATCAATTAAAACAAGGGTAAATTCGTAAAAACGAACATTCCAAACAACTCAAACTAGATATTGGTTTTTATTTTATAGTTTTTAATAATTTATAACTTATAATACGAAACAATACATCAAACATAATAACAAAAACGAATAAATTAAAACATCGAAAATTTGAATAAATAGTCCACCTTTTGGACACCATAATATGAAATTTGATTTCTGCTCATCTAGTCGTTTATTTTTGTTGTGAATATTCAAATTATAAACTCTATTGAATAAACTTAAATTACCATTATAATCAATATGTTTTTACATAATAATAATATAAAAACATACAGAAATATCAACTCGAATTATTATAATAGAATAAACGTTTCAACTTCGAAATTATTATAACAACACAAACTGCAATACAATAAACATAAACAAAATATAAAAACACGTTATAAACATATCATATTGATAAATTTATAAAATATAAATCGATTTGATGATAACAAACGGTTAACGAGCGTGGGTTTTTCAAATGGTCGATTATTTATCACACCAATTTAAAATTTAAATAATTTGTTGGAATGAAAGAATTAAGTTGTTTGGGGTTCTAGTGTATCAACTTTTTTAAAATAATGATAATTTAAAATAAAATTATCTATAATTAATCGACTAGTTTAATTATATGATAATAACTATTAAAAAAAATAGTTTCACATTTTAAAAAATAAATTAATATTTATTGTTGGTT